TAATTTTGATTAGTTGTGCAGTTTTTACTGTAGTCAGCCCTCCATATCTATGGATTCAAGGATCCACAGCTTTAAAATATTCAAAAAATACATAAATTCCAAAAAGCAAACCTTGATTTTGCCATTTTGCATAAAGGACACTGTTTAAGTACACCATTGTATTTAATTAAACTTGAGTGTCCACAGATATTGCTATCCATGGGGGATCCCAGAACCAAACCCGAGCAAATACCCAAGGTCCAATGTATAAACAAGATCCAGTGTTGCATTAAGTTTTTTGGTTGCCCCACAGCATTTCCTGTTGCCGTGTGCCTATTCATATTCATAGCCTTCTGTATGGCTGCAAATCTTCAACCTCCTACAGCAGATATAGGGCTATATAGTCCAAAACACACTGCCGAAATAATCCAGTTTCACGCCACTTTAACTGTCCTGGCTCAATTCAATGGAATCTTGGAAATTGTAGTTCATTGTGGCACCAGAGTTCTAACAGAGAAGGCTAAATGTTTCACAAGACTGCTGTCACCAGAATTCCCTACCATTGAGCCAGGGCAGTTAAAGTGGTCTCAAACTGGATTATTTCTTCAGTGTGTTTTGGACTTATGAGGGACAGGGATCCATTTCACTGGCAGATGACTAGTGTTGGATACACCCCTATATTTTTTCTCACACGTGTCCATTTTTTACACTCTACTTTTTAAACATAAAAGCAACCGCATTTTTAGGGCCCAAATTATGACTACGATAATTCAGCTTTCAAATACGAGCTGCTTCCCTATTTATCACAGCCTCCCTCCACTGGAGAGCTTACACAGTTTAAGTTCTTAAATGGCTTTGTACTGATAACCATGCCAGGCTGAGATTGGAGAGGCACAGGTTTGGTCACACACACACTCCACCGTAAAACTTATTTGTGCAGTCTTTTACAGAGTGTTGTGAGCATAAAAATGGGGCAGAACTACATATGCTGCCATAAGCTGTGTGAAGGGAAGAGGATATAAATGCAGTTTAAAAAAATCCCAAAGATCAGCTCTTTTATGACTCTTCCTCAAGGGTGTCTTCATTCTCACTCCTTTGATTATAGTGAGGTGTGTTGTTTTTAGCATAACATGCAACTGAAATTTGACAAGGAATCACCTGCTGTTCAAGCAAACTTAGCACTTAGATGTATTTTCCAAAATTAGCCCATAATGCTGTGTGCCTGTTTGAGACTTTATTATGCTGCTGGTAGAAAAGGCCAATAAAGTGGAATATACTTTTCCCTGGGGTGATACTGATTGTATTAGCAAGGTCTCATTCAGAGGATAGAACACTACTGAGTCATCATTTTGATGAAAAGAGTCTGCTGCACAAGGATGGGGCTTTTTCCAAAAGCACCTTGGTGGATTTCCAGCCCTGTAACAAGTCTCAGTGACACTATAAACACGTCTGAACTAAACTGCACCTCTGTTAAGTGACTCCGTTTAAGTACCAGCAAATGGATGCCATGAGAAAGCTTTGGGTTGCAAAGCTACGGTTTGTATTTTCCTGAATCATAATTTTCATTATTTCAATGTGCTTATAAATTTGATATTGGACTAAGTGCCTCAGTTGCCATAAGCAGGCCTTGCTGAATAGTTGTTTAACATTGTAAAAATGAGTGATAATCTGTCCTTATTAGTTACAGTAAGAGCAAAGGTAAAGGTAGTCCCTTGACATGAATGTAGTCATAACCAATTTTAGGGGGCGGTGAACATCTCTATTACTGAGCCAGAGAGCCAGCATTGTCCAAAGACAATTCTGATGGTCATGTGGCCAGTATGACTGCACCGAATGCTGTTTACCTTTCCACTGAAGTGGTACCTATTTATCTACTTGCATTTGCATGCTTTTGAACTGCTAGGTTGGCAGAAGCTGGGACTAGTGACAGCTCACCCCATCATGCAACACTCGAGCTTTGAACTGCCAAGCCTCTGACCTTACAACCTTACAACTCCTTTTTCTGATTAGATGCTGTGTTCTAAGTTGAATAACTCCAAACTTTCCTCCTGCTTATTCTTCATAAAAGATAAGGCTGATTGCACATGAAATCCCTTTTCTGTTTAACCAAAAGTAGATGCTTCTTAGTCAAATGTGCATATTGAAAAGTGTGGGATAATCTGAATTATGGATCAGTTACTTATAGTTACACTATCTCAAAACTTGTGATAATGTGCTCAAATTATACGCACTTTCTCTTTGCCCTAGATCAGGATTGGACAAATTGTTGATCTTGAAGTGTTGTTGACTGCAGCTCCCAGTAGCTGTTCCAATATATATAGCCAAGAATGAGCAATCTTGAGAGTTGCAGTGTAAGAATAATGCATCCCCCCTAGATATTTCAAACATCGAAGAAAACTTACTCATGGACTGGATTTAGAGGCAACCTTCTTGAATTAAAAGTAGTCTATTTTTTTTGATTTAGCACAAGTAAAGAACTGAAATATCTTTCTACTTCTGTGTGCACTAAAGTTGTACATGTTCCAGTGTTCCACAAGTTTCAAGATGTCTACTAACATCACACAGCATTGCAGAAGGTCTTCCGGGACAATGCATGGACCAGTGGCACTACGTACTCCAACCAGTGACCATCCAGAGAGAAATGGTAGAGGATATCAGGAAGGAAAGATAAAAGGAAGCATATTTTCATGCAATATATAATGTAAGCTGGAATTCATTCAAGGTGCAATGGCCGTGAGATTTCAAAAGATGACACAAATTTGTAAAAGTTAATACAGTACGCAGTGGTATGTTTCATGCCTATGTAGAACATAACAACAAGTGTGCCATTGAATACCAGCTCACGTGGAAGTCAAACATCCTGAAGGGTCCAAGGCCAGTCACAAGGAAGTTTACATGTTTAGCCAGGACCAACATAGTCTGGGTAGCAAAAATCCTTCCAAAATAATTTACCTTTTCTATGTTAGTCTCTAGATTTTTGTAGACATCAATATTCTTAAAAATGATCACAATTTAGGGTTACAGATATGTGTAATGGGCTGTCATGTTAGCTTTGCCTTATGGAGACAAATGACAGATATCCAAGAGGTGCAGTTTTGCAAATTTAGGCCTGTGGGATCCTTTACTGGAGGGGCAGGGGGAATCCACCTGTAATGTGGTCTTCTTTTCTTACTGCTTTCATCTTTCCCCAGTATTGTGTTCTTTTCCAAAGGGTTTTGTTTTCTTATGATATGTCAGAAGTATGAGATAGCCTTTAGTTATTTTGGTTTCTAGCGAGAAATCAGGTTTGATTTGCATTTATTTGTCTTTTTTGACAATCCATGGTATTCCTTAAAATGTCATCCAGCACCACATTTTAAATGACTATGTGTTTTTGCCTGTCAGACTTGAATTATTATAGCCCTACAAATGCATACAGGTTGTACTAAGCCAATATTGTGTACTGAATAGTGATTTTTCTAAACTTACAGAGCCGGGAACATGCAAAATGAAGCAAACTATTCAGGCAACACTTTGGCATGTATGTACTATTCTTGCCTGTTCTTCCATAAGCTTTTGTCCTTAGCTGAACCAGAAAATGACTAGCAACAGGAAACAAATTCATTTACTAGCTCTGAAATAGTATTGCCTGCAGAAACCTCTCACTGTGTTAGTAGAGTAGCACAAGGGGAACAGACTGAAAGACTTCATAGTATACAGAAAACAGATGTTAGAGAAGGAAAGGTGACTTGTCAGTGAGAAATAGAGGGCTGAAATATTGGTGCTGACAAATGAAATGATTTTATTTCTGCACAGTTTGACATCTGTTCCCCAAAGCTGCTTCTTAATATGTGGTATTCTGAGCTTCCTTTCAAAAGAGAAATTGGTGATTCCGGACCATGTCAGTGAGAAATTAAAAACAAGTGCATCTGTTTGCAAAACCAGACAGTAAATAATTTCCTGTTTTAATTTTTCATTGATAACATATGTTTTAATCATAAAACATAAAACATCTCTCAGCATCTCAATAAATCGGGAAACAACTTATTTTGGACATGGCTTTCCCAATAGAGTGCATGTATACTTTCCTATTTCTATTACTTTCCTTCCCCTAACCTCGGAGTATATTTTTAGTGACGAACTCACATAAGAGTTTTTTTAAATTCCCATTTTTAATTTTTTCATGCCCTGATGCTATCTCTCTCACCCTTTTCCCTTTTATCTTGGGACACATGAGCTCTGTGGAAGAAGGCATGCTCACGCTATTTTGCATTCAGGGATCATTCCTACCTTCCTGCCTTGCAACAAAAGAAATGATGAAAGGTAATGAAAAAGTTGATTGTATCAGCTGCCAAGGCACTAGGCTTCTTGGGAGAGACAGGAAATTGAAGTGAGGCCATTCCCTTAGATTATGTCTGCAACCATAATGAGGAAGAAGTGAATTCAAATCTTAGCTCTACTATGTCTAATAAATACAGCATTTTACACAGCAGTAATTGCAAATATAATGAGAAATATGACTCCTCTCTCCCTTCACCACGTTTTTTGAAAGTTAACAATTGATTTTGTAGAAGATGTAAGACCCACCTTTTTTTCTTCCATTTCCATTTAGTGGGGCAATCTGGCGACTTCACTTTCATCTAAATCTGTCTTTCACAAAATTATAGTCTTGTGCTTGAGGGGCTGGAAGGGGATGCCTTAGAAACATCCAACATGATTATCGGTGATGATCAAGACAGCTTTTTCAAAAACATTAAACAGTTGTGGGAGTGGGTGTGGGTGTGGATGGGTGTGTAACCACAACAGTGAAAAACAAATCAGAAGAGGAAGATGGGTTCCTCACAGATAATTTTATTTATCAATTTATTTTTATTTTGCCTGTATGATAAAAAAATATACAATTATTTGATTCCCCCTGAAACCACCCTTGTAAATCCAACTGTTAGTTTCTCAGTCATGGCATCTCTGTTCCTTCACTGTTGTTATTTTCTTAAGTAGTATGTCTGTAACACCTCAGCCCATCTTACCCATCAGTCTCAAGAGCCAGTGTGACGTAATGATTTGAGCATTGGACTGCAATTCTAGAGACCAGGGTTCGATTCCCAGCTCTGCCATAAAACCCACTGGGTGACCTTAGGCAAGTCACATGTTCTCAGCCTCAGGAGAAGGCAATGGCCAACCTCCTTTGTACAAATCTTGCTAAGAAAACACCATGATAAGTCATCGCCCCTAGGCTCTGGAACGACCTGCCGGACGAGATCCATCTATTAACATCCTTAGACAGCTTTAAAAAGGCTGTCAAGACGGATCTCTTCCGGCAGGCCTTTCCAGACTAGTTATCCCCCACCTCGGATATAAATAGCCGTACTAATGATGTTCCTCATGTGGCCCCATCGATAGATGGAGAGGATTATCGAGTCAGGCTTTTTTAGTTGTTTCTCTATATTGGGGTTTTAAACTTAATTGAATTGATGTTTTAACTGTCTTTAATACTGTTTTAAAGGGGGAGGGGAGTCCTGTATTATATGTTTTATTGTGGATTGTATGTTTTAAACTTGTAAGCTGCCCTGATTGGAGTACCACTGGGCGGGATATAAATAAATTTTATTATTATTGTTATTATTATGATAAGTGCCTTAAGTTGGAAACTACTTGAAGGCACACAACACCCCATCTTCCACGCCACTCTCATTAAACTGGAGTTGCTGCTCCTGCTCCTTCTGACAGCAGACTTAAGCTGAGGGCCAAAAGAACTGGAATTGAAACAAAGCATCTTCTTCTTCTCAAAACACCCCAGTGAGACAGAAACCCCACGTAATTGAAGTAGTCCTTTTCTTCTCCTTACATCTTACAGCAGCTGTGGACTCTTTTTGAACCAGAAGACCAAATTTCTATCGTAGACCAGTCTGAGGTTTTGATACCCTCGTTCCTGTGATGAGTAAGGCCAAAGGAAAAATGTGTGGCCAAAAGTGAAAATCAATTTAGCATTCACTTGACATTTCATTTGAAAGACCTCTTAACAAAGCCTTTAAATCTAGCGCTCTTCAAGGTAATTTAAGAACACAAAGATATAGATCTGTATGTCAGCCAAAGTCAGTTTTAAAAATGGTGCGTTGTGTCCTTGGCCAACATTCTGTGACCCACTTGTAATCATGATCAGCAAATTGATGTGGAGCCATGAATAATCATGCTCCTTTTCTTGCCAATCCAACATTGGCACTTGTTTGCTTCTGTTGCCTCCATATTTTTGAAATGCCATCTCTCTTTTCTGTGCCTGAAGTTGTGCTTGTTTAAAAATGTGTTCTGCCTGTTCAAACCCAACTTTTTCTGCTCTCCTTCATCCTTTGGATCATCACAGAAAAGTAGTTCTGTGGCTAAAACCCTCTAGCTAGATTGAAGTCTTGAAGAGGAGCAAGGCGGTCATTTGTTGTTATATGACTTCTCCAACTTTGGAGGTCTTTAAACGAAGGCTGGATGGCTATCTATAGGGGGTGCTTTGATTGTGAGTTCCTGCATGGCAGGGGGGGTTGGACTGGAGGGCCCTTGTGGTCTCTTCCAACTCTATGATTCTATGACTTCAAGTTGACTCTGTCCTACAGTGACACTATCATGGGCTTTCTTTGGCAAAATTTGTTCAGAGGGGGTTGCCTTTCCCTTTCTCTGAGGCTGAGAGATTACAGCTTCCCTAAAGTTACCCAGTGGGTTTCTATGGCTAAACTGGAATTCAAACTCTGGTCTCCCACACTCAGATCACTACACCACGCTGGCCCTCATCAGTCCATTAGATGTGTTCAAAAGTAAATCATTCACACGAATGTAACAGCACTTAGGTCTAAATCCAGCCGTTAACTTGAGTAGATCTACTAAACCAACGGGAAGATGGCAACACTTGTGTAAATTCCAGAATCAAACAGACTCCTGTAGTTGTGGAGAAAGTTCTTGACTGGCTAGACCATGTGGCCACCATGCATGTTTGTGCATCTACTGCTGAAACGTTTGAGGACTGTAAAACTCATTCAGAATTACCCATGCAGAGGAGGGTGAACAAAAGCCATCCTGCTTTCTTGACTTGGAGCCAAGCTTGCAGTCTTAAGAGATGCTTCTACACATTCTGATCCTCTCTCTTACATTCCAGTTTCTCAGGTACAGGGAGACAGCATCATCCATCCTGCTGACCAATAGTTGCTTTTTGCTGACACTTAGCCTCCTTGAGGCAGATGCCCTCCTACATTCTATAAAGGTTCATTACCCATTGCAAAGTTTGCAAAAAGGCTGAAAATCAATGGTGAAAACACAGCCAGCCTTCTACAAATAGTACCTCTGAAATGAGGCAAAAGCACATGAAATGCATATAAAGTTCTCACTTCAGTGGAAGTGTGAACAATTGTGTTTGTTTCTTGACAGTCTGGTTACTGAGCAAAGCTGAGGATGGGCAGCCAACGTTGGTCTGTTTCAATGAACAGTTTCAATACCATTTCCTAGTTGTTGCCAGATGTATTGGGGAAAGACCTGCTATGCCATTTCATCTAAGTTTTTCTACACCACCAGCAATTATGTTGCATAGATGGTTTATTTTGATCTTTGCCTGAAGTGTTACCAGGTCGGGAAATAACGTACAAAAAACAACAACATTTTAGGCTTAAAATATATTGTCATAGTCTTGCATTAGATCATGCTGTTACCTTGGAAGCAAAAATGTAATTAAAGGAGTAGTTGGTAAGTATATTAAAATTTATGGCAAAGCAGCAGTGAGGCCATATTGTGCCATGGGGAGACGGAGGTGGAAGGGTCCAGTGGAGGAAAGTACAATTAACTTAGCATCCCCTTCTTACTTGCAGTCAATATCTTCAGGGGTGTTGCTAGTGGGGTACAGGGTGGATGCTTAAACTGTATGTCTAATAGCTCAACTGGACTACATGAGACTCTCTCCCTTTATTGAGCACATTACAACTCTAAGATTGTCTGGAAAGGCCCTTCTCTGTTCCACCACCTTCTCAGGCTCATTTGGTGACAAGAAGAGAGGGCCTTGTCAGTGACTGCTTCCAGCCTTTAAAACTTCTTCCTTAAAGGTGGGAAATATGGCCCTTCATATATTGCTGGGCTACAAATCCCATCATCCTTCACCACTGGCTAGGACTGCTGGGGGTTTAAATTCATTGACATCTAGTGTACTACACTTTGGCCACTGCTGGCCATTCACTACTTACATACATCTTTCTCTTATCCAGTCAGATTTTTTTTTCTTTTTTTGTGTTTGAAGGCTAGAGT